TTCAAACTGAAGAAAAATTTTCTAATAACATCCATATTTGACCTCCGAAGCATAAACTTCCCAACAAGGGTGAAAGAAAAAGGAGCTGCAAGCTGATTAACAACCACATCCTCAAATAACAGAGCCGGGCAACCTTTAAAAGTCGACTTCACAAATTTAACTATAGGGGAAGATGAAGAGGAGCCACCGGAAACCACATCTTTAAAATACCTAGTTTTACCAGCTAAAGAAGGCGCAGCGGCCGGGGAAGACGACGTCGGAGCCGACATCGTCCCCCACCCCCACAAAAGAAAATAAAACAAAACTAAAACCCCAAAAAACCAAAAACAGGGGAAGAAAAAACGAAACGAAAATGGAGAACAGCCAACCAGAGAGAGGAACGAGATTACCAGAAGATCAGCCAAGGAGAACAGGCCTTACACACGAAGAAACCACAACAGAGATCGCACGCCTCACACCGGAGAAATCGCCTCGAAGAGCAGAGAGGCGGCTAGGGCGTCAACAGAGATGTTTTAATCAGCCACTACATAAGTTACTTATATATTTCATTCATCTTAAAGCAAATCAAACACTTTAAAAGTCATAATGATCATGATCATAAAATTCTGACATTATATTCTTTCAAAAACAATTAAATAATAAATTTCTTAAACTTTCCTATCCCCTCAATTTAAAGCATCAAGCCATCACATTTATTTGAAAAGCATGATTGTATGAGTATAATAATATATTTCATATTCTTTTCTTTCCCCTCAAATAGAACAAGAAAAAGGATGGTCAAGCACTAAAAATAATCAAAATTATATTTCTTAAAAAGAATGTAAAATGTATTTCAATTTTTGTGATCTTAAGATTTTGAGAAATGTAATCAAGATTTTATCTCCCCTCGGCCTTTATAATAAACCATGGTTTGCTTTCTCGAAACAAATTGGGTTTGGTCCACTCTCAATAGGCAATAATTTGCCTTATAAGTCTCGAATTGAGACTTAGGGAGAGAAATTTGACCAAGATGGCAGGTGATTGGAGGAGAAAAGCCAAATGTGCATGGAAGAGAGCAGTGAATAAGTGAGAGCGAGAGAAGTGACCAAGTGCCTGACTGAGCCTGTGTGGGGACATTGATGGTGCAAGATACTAAGTTATCACTTTTTTAGTTGACATTTGATTGAATTAGAGTAAAGGTAATTGGGAGATAAGAAAATTGAAGTAACTTATAATTTTAAGAATTCTATTGAAATTAGGGACTTTTATTGTCTTCATAAAAGCATTATAATTACAATTAAATGGATTTTATCATGGATGTAAATATTTAGTTTTCTTTTTCTCAGATACCTGAAAAATTCATAATTGATTTATTTTTATATAATGAATGAATATTGAGCTTATGATTAAGTCATGAAAGTGAATATTAATTATGACATTAATAAGGAGTTTATAGATGGATTCTAATTGCATAAATCAATATCCCATTGTTATTATTATTCAAAGTAATAAAATGTTTTATATAAGTGGAGGAAGATTGCTGATTATTATAAGCAAAGGCTTAATCATGATGGGTTAATTTATGGTTGGGGGTATTTTTAGTATGATGAAGACCTAAAGCAATAAAGGTAAGCCCTATGAAAATATTTAATTTGTTAGATGTGATTAACTAAATTATTTTGGTTGATAATATTTATTGTGTCATATATTAAATATATGAGTGATTTAGATCCTTTTGAATCAAGGATTGTGGAGCCCTGCATGTTTAAGCAATAAAGATTGGCATCATGATCAAAATGTTAGTTCAACTAATTATGGCCTCGACCTAATAGGTGACTTTTTATAGAGTAAGAAATAAACATATGCTTCATTGTTATGGGAGTTTTCCATGCTACCTTTCTTGTATGCTTTAGTTGTCAATAATATATGATAAAACATGTTTATTTAATGACAAAAATTCAAGTGATCATTTTGATATGATTTGCTAAATAGCCTATCATGTTATTTTGCTACACAAATTCATATAAGTTTAATAGTCATTCTTTTGATTTGTTGAGAATAATTATTGCCCTTATGAGTCATCAATTTTATTGATATGTTTTTTTAATCAATTTTATTAATATGTAGCTTTATTACATGTCATAACCTTCTTTAAGAGCTATTATTGCAAATACAAAAATTTTATAATACATACTTATGAGTATGATGCATATAATGTAGATGATAAACCTTTTTTAACATTGACTAAGTTGATTGACAAGTCCATATCGTGATGACTCTATAAAAGTTATTGGATTTTTTTCTTAAGATTGGTGCATGCCTTTCTTAGTGAGTCATTTTAGTTAAGCAACTATAAATTTGTCAATTTTGATATAATTGGTGGATTCTTTTTTAAAATTAAAACCCACATATGGGCCTACGCGTTAATACTAAAGAAAGGAGTTACAGGGTCCTTAGAAGGAACCTCTAGCTCGCTAATGCTCAAAAGAGCTACAAGAGAAATCAAAATAAATCCTAAAGTCAGTGGTTCCCTATACTATGAATTACAAAAGACCGTAAATACATTCTAGGACTACAAGTAGACAGCACCCAAAAAAGGAAGATCAAAACAAAGACATTCAGCACCATCTTCTTGCAAAAAGAATAATCAAACTTCAAATAGCTCACCATTCTGTACTCGCAAAAACCCTGCAAAAGAAGTGTAGCCAAAACTCCATCGACCAAATATGCACAAAGAAAATACTCCAACCAAAAAGGGTAATTTGATGAAAATGGATATTTAACCCAAGCAAATATAAAAGGAACATATTATTATCAAACCCTACCAGGAGAGAAAAATCCTGAGCCACAGTATAATTAAAAGACACTAAGGTACTGTAAAATAATTTCAAAGTACAAAACAAGTAGATCCAAGAATAACTAATATTGATTTTACCCGAGACATGGAATTTCGAATACCACAACCTGGAGGAGAACAAAAGGCTTAATAATGATCGGGCAGTTCTCAGTAACGTAACCAAATAGCCACCAACCAAGGCCGTGAAAGGCTTTAAAACAGTCACCAAATTAGATATCAGAATAATCAACATGGAGCAAATATAGTTTCCAATCTCCTGAAGTAGCCAAAAAATCATTAAATTGCTCCCCACAATTCTCTGATCCATATTAAGCACCTAATCAACAAATAAGATTGAAAAGAAAATGATACCCTTATGCCTATTAAAATCCCAAATGCTAGTAACCCGAGAACGTAAATAGTTGGGCAGATAAATTTTTCTCATGAATGTAGAAATATGGCTAATATAGCTCGCTTTAGCACCATCAATATCCAAACCCATTATACGTAGCAAAGCAAGCCAAAAGCTAGTAAGCAATCAACTCATCCTTCAAAAAGGCATTATCTCTAGCTATCACCGGATTCATAACACCAACAATGCAAAAAAAAATGAAAATAAAATTACTGGAAACCCGAAACTAGTTGCAATAAACAAAATTCATCCAGTACACGAAGAAGTCAATCGTGTTAAAATGAAAGCATGAAACATAACCCAAAATATCCTTAGAAAACAAGGTAGTGTCAAGTCCAAAACAGTTATCCCATCAAGAGAGGATTGATCAAAGCTATCATAAATGTTATAAATAATACTCAGCATTTCAAAAATCCAGTCATACATGGAGGGATCCTAATAACCAGTAGAATTAGAATACTCGCAAGTGAATGTTTTCACTTTTGAACATAGATATTATTAGTTGGCATAGATGATTCCTATAAACTTTGCGGTACAAAAAGGACTGCTAATTGATTTCAAAATAAATAAATAAATAATCTAAGCTGTTATATATTGGTTATAACTATTATAATACAATGCTTATTTTTAACTAATATCTCTTTCTTTGCTTATATTTATGCCTCATTCATTGATATTTATATTTTACTAAGTACATTGATGCATGTTTATATTTTACTCGATCAGTGGAATTTCCCTGGAGAGTTCATTCTTGTAAGCTCATGCTATTACTTTGTGATTTTAGATTACTAATTGTAATTCTTATAAAGGAATTTCTAGGTTTGTGCTTTTGGTCCAATTATGGTTAGAATTATTTAATTGGTTTAATATTATAATTTGATTCCATTTAAACTTTTGTACATATTTAGCATGTATTTTGAGTTTAGATGCTCAAATGATTTTAATGATGAAAATAAGTATTATTGAAATAATAATTTTGTTTACTTTTAGAATTATCCTTAAACGTTTTGCTCACATCTTCCTTTTAGTTATTGTTACTTTCATCCAGGTCCATTTTCGGGATGTCACACCCCTCCCCTCAAACCCTCTTCTTATTTATTAACATTTGTCTAACCAACCATCCAATCCCTTAGATTAATTTTCCTTTTGCTTAAATAACCAAAACAATATGTAAAGAGTTTCTCATCCTAGCATTAATCTAAAATTTTACATATAAGTAAATAAGTTGAAAATAATTTTAAGACAAAACATTTTTACGTTAAAATGTCAAAAAAAAAAAATCACAAGACCTCATTCAATTGAAATTTTTCTGCGAAAATTAGAAGACTTTGATTTTTAAATTTATAATCTTAAAATAAAAAAAATTCTTCTCTTTTAATGATTAGTTCATTAATCATTCTACAACTCTCAAAATTTAAAAATTAAAATAAATACAAAACAACCAACAAAAAAAATCTACAAAAGATAAAAATACATCATCTTTCATGAAAATGGGCGCAAATTTCACCAATACAACTTAATGTAAATGAATTGGAATTTCAAATTCTGCCTATCAAAGATTTTCTTGAGTGACTTTTGAGAAAATTTAATTGAAAGCTCATGTACATTACTATTCGTTTGGCTTGAAATCCAAAATCATGCAAGTGAAATTAAAATATTGAACCACTAGAACGTGATAGGCCGTCATCAAAGAATTCCGTAGCAATTTCTTGTTATTATTGAAGACTGCTGCATTATTCACAAGAACTTGAAAAGAACAATGAAGGAGAAACCTCAAAGAGCGTGCAGCCCCAAATTTAAACCCTCAAAAATTGCCACAGGGATATTTAATGTGCTGGAGATATTATTCATGTATTGCTGGGAACTCAAGCTCATAAGGTTTGCAGGGTCGATGCTATATCTTAACTTGTGCTCTTGAAAGAACTCTAGAAGAACTCTTCGGACCTCCGGTATGTTACTGGAAGCACCGGCGAGCACGACCTCATCCACTGCTTCCCGACTGACTCTGGCTTCCCTCAAGCACCTCATGATTTCGGAGCGAAGTCGCTCGAGATTCATCTGCACTAACCATTCCCGTTCGACCAATTGTCTCATCTCCATGCCTTGTTCCTCGATCTTAACCTCCGCGGTAGCCGAGCCCAAACATAGGGCGTCCTTGGCGCGCTCGCATTCCGTTTGGATGTTATGGAGAAAGACGGCGTCGAAGTCGTCGCCGAAACTCAAAGGAAGCTCTGAAACCATGTGGTTGAAGAGTGGGCAATACATGTCGGAAACAGCGGCCATTATATTTAGACCCCGATCTTGATCTTCAGTGAGCAGAGAGATTTCAAGGAATTGACCTCCGAGTTCGAATACGAGGACGGTTCTGCGTCCGGTGGTACTGAGAGATCTGTAAGCGGATGCGGCAAGAACCGATCTTTGGATGGAATGGACAATGCGAACTCCTGCGGCGGCGGCGATGGCGGAGAGTCGTGATTGATACCGGCGGGGTTTGCTGCTGGCAGGGATTAAGACGACAATGTTTTGGACTCGTTGTCCGTGGAGGCGTTCGAAGGTGGCTATCTGGCTCTGGAAATGAGATGTGAGGATTTCATGGGCGGAAAGGTATGTTGCCTCGTTATTGCCTATGGAGACCCAGAAGCGGGAAATGCCGTCGGGGCCGACATGTCGCTGGAAAGGGCAGTAGTGGCGCTGCAACCAGGCTTTGCCGGAAGCTGAGTGGAGATGGACGAGGCAGTTGCCGGAACAAGAGATTTGAGCAGGAGGTTCCATGGCAGATTTCTTCTTGTCTTCTTGGCTTCTGAGCTTTCTTGGTTGCAGGAGAAGCGGAATTGCTGGTTTATTTAAGCGTCGGTGTTGTTTTAGCGTGGGAATGCAACTTCGACTGATTAATGGAGGCGGGTAATTTTTAAATTAAAGTAATTAAGAAAAAAAAGTATGGTTAATAAAAATTTTTAAAAGAAGCAAAATTATCAAATAATTTGGATCTTTCTGGTGTATTAAGAAAATGCTAAATAGACTAGTATTTTTTCAAAGAAAATATAAAAAATATTAATTTATTTATTTTATAAATAAAAAATTTGGTACAATCAAGGAGCAATTAGCTTTCACTTGTTTGGTGAGAAATCGGCTCCCTATAAAGTCCGCTCATGTTTGAATATATTAATTTCCATATAAGAAAATTTAAAAAAAAAAATTCAAATTTTGTCTTAAGATTCGAAATTGACGACATCTCCTATTAACCAGGATTTCACCACTTAACCGAATCTTAGAAAAATTAATAAGAACTGTTTAAGAATTTAACTTATTTAATTTTTTTTGTAATACTTTTTTTAGATTTTAATAGATATCTTAATACGCCAAAAAGATTAGCATTTTCTTAAAATCATTTTACATTTTTGTTTCTTTTTTTTTTAATTTTGAATAATCATAATCACGCTTCTATTCCTTAATTACAAGCTCCATTTTAAAAATAACTCTTCTGAGTCTTTACTAAGTTTATTAGATAAAAGGGAGATTTATATTAATGCAACTAATATTTTATCTCTTTATATATCTAATATTTAACTTTGATATTTATTTATCTAATATTATAAAAAATATTATTGATAAGCCACTAAAAATCATCTTGATCAGGCATGAGTCTCCAGACATATTTGAATTAGAAACTTTAAAAATTAAATTAGGGAACATGAACTCCATTTTTAACAAACTCATGGTCAAACTGAACATCTCGACGAGGTAAATATAACGACATTAAAAAAAAACATCAAAATTGATCAAATCTAAGCTTAAATGTATCTTGACTTAAAGTATATTTGAAAGCTTCAAAATATTAATTGGGTCACCAAATGATATCCAAATATAACATGCTTATAGTTGAATCAAGCAGCTCAACGAGTCGATCCAACAAGCCCAATATCACTTAATTCCAAAATCATTAAGTCACATAAAATCTAAAGAAAAGCTCTATGATTGACAAATTCAAAATCTTTAAAAAAACCTCTGCTCTCTATATGGGGGGAAACTTTTGGAGGGGGTTTGGACTTGGGGCTAAAGATTCAAGGGAGCCTTGAAGTTAAAAAAAATCCTAGAGATCCACCCAAGAACTACCGCCGATGAATCTTATGGCACTCTAAAATCTAATGGAAGGATTCAATTACTTAAACCTATAACTAATTAACTCATCCATTAATCAAACACAACCAAACAACTAGAGCTACTACAAATTCTAAAATACAAAAGCAAATTTACATTATTCATTTCATCAAAACATAAATGCAATAATCTAGACGGCTTTTAATCATCTATACTTAAGAATATTTAAAACTGGATTACAAAATAATACCATAGATACTAAAACTTAGAATATTTTTTCCTAACACTGAATCTACTCCATTGAGTCATTACCTTTTGCTAAAATTTTAAAATGAACAAAATGAGCAGAACCAACCCAACATATATACTTCTTTCCTTATCCATCATAGATATCAATATCTAGTTCAAAATATTAAATAATAGTTTAATGAAATTGCAATAACTAAAGAAATAAATTATAAATTGACAAAACATAATTTCTAGAGTTCAATATATACATGTTTTCATAATCCTTACTTATACTTATTTTACCATTTTCATAAAGGTTTTCAATATTTCACAGAGCACATGTTATTGAAGATCATTTGCTTTGCACTTTTACATGACTTGTTTATTTTGTTTGAGTTTTGAAAAAATTAAAAATTTTAACATTTGGTTATTATAAACATCATTTGTACATAATTCATTAAAAATGTCAACCTATGTAATACAATGAACATAATACACATGTTCTAATGTGTGCTCATATATCAAGTGTAGAAAGAGTTATAACAGAGTATATTGTCATATAATCTCCGATAATTACTTTCAATAAGTGGTCCAGAATCCCTTCAATAAGTGGGTCCATAATTCCTCTCACATCCACACTATGCAAATTAAATATTATTTATTACTTTATTAGAGATCACATTGAAGGTTATGTTGACATTTTTTGTATTGATATTAAAAAATTAGTTGGTGGGTATTGTTACATAGGCTCTTAGTTATGAAAGGTTTAGGGTATTTAGAACAAGATTTGGAGTAAAAGATTTATGTTCCTAGACCATATGAATGTTTGTGTACATGTGTCACTTGTACCTATGTTATGAATGTTTATGTTGGTGATTAATTGTATTTTATTGTTTGGTTATGTTTGTATGTGCATTAGGATGTCCCTGAACACCTAATAACATTGAAATATACATGAGAAATTGGAAAATTAAGTTTATACAATATGATACATATAGCACTAAACAAAGTGAGTTAGTCAATAGTTTGGAAAAATAGTCATTTGGAACAATCTGAAAAATAAAAGTTTGTATTGTATGATCCTTATCACAATGTGACCGAATCAACTAGACATTAGGATGATAATAAATAACAATTTTTACTATATAATATTTATCGAACTGTACAATTAACTTAGTCAAAATGATCATTAGAGAGTTATTGGAATGATCTGGAATATTAATTCTATTGTACTTTTCATAAAGCTTTGAAAATTTATAAATAGGCATGCATGGGTTCTCACTCAAATATTCTCATAAGTTTGTTTTTTTTCTTTTTGAGTTTTCATTGTGCTTAGAGACACTCTTCTCCTTCTCATTCTAAATTGGCAAACAAATGCTCTAGTGCAAGAGGAACATCATCTTGAACTCAATGTGATAAGGGATTTTAATCGGAGAAAGAAGAAGAAGCATATACATGATATAGAAAACCTTCTTTTATTGATTAAAGGTCATATTACCAGAGCAATTATCTTGTCTAATCTACAATCTTTCCATTAGTACTACTTCACAATTTCTCATTTCTCTTTCCTTTCCTTTTCACTCAAAAATAGTTTATGAATTTTGCAAATTTGAGAATAAATGCTAATAGGATTGCAATGCAATCATGAGTATATTAGAGGAGAGTAGCAATAATTGATCAAGTGCTACACAACTATTTACATATATCTTATAATATTGTCTTCACATGATATAGATACCAACCTTCATTATAATTGGACCATAGTAAATACTGCATATAGGAATACCCCACTTCATCACCGTAAACCTTTAGTGAGCGGCCTTGTTTTGAAGGCTTATATCATCCAAACATACTTTGGCGCAATGTCATCCTAATTAATAACTAATGACTGAATCAATATTTTCTCAATTCTTATAATAGTTACTTATTGCTGCATTAACAATATATAATTTAATGTTGTAAACCTTTTGATCTCGTACATAGAAAATCTTACTCATTAGATATTCAAGCACAAGAAGAAACCAAAACCTAGCATTATGAAACATAATTACCTATAGCCTTTTGACAAAATAAAATTTAACATAATCTCAAGCACCCAACCAATTACCTTCTCACTTCACTAACGACTCCGCATATTCTATATAGTATGAAGCATCGACCAACAAAGTAAGGAAGCAAGGATAAGGAGGAAAAAGAAGGGCTTGCTCCTATTCATCTAGCTCATAATTACCCTCATGATGAGTACTCTAAGCATTTTGCATTGCTAGAGCCACTACAGAAAATTCATACGGTACCAATAGTTTTTTTTGGTACAATTTTTACCAAAATGTTTGATAAAAATTAAGCCATAATTTTTGTCAAAAATTAGTGAACCCGTTTGAATTTCTAAAAGATTTTTTGTCAGAATTGTTATTTAATTTTCAATGAAAAAAATTTGTCAAAAATTTCATCGAAAAAAACCCTATTTAGATTCGAGCCCCCTCCCTCTCCCATTTCACATTTTTTAATCTCACAAACACATCTATCAGCCTCTCTATCACCTGTGGCTATCCAAGGTGATTTCTAGACGATTTTGCTCCATTTCTTCAATATTTAGAAGATAATACTTCATTTCTATAACCATTTTTATTTATTGTTTTAGATTTTGTTCTTTAATTTTTTGTTAAAAATATATTTTAGTTATATTTAGGATTACACTTACATTATCTTTTTTATCCATCACTTTTTGAGATAGTATTATATTGAAAAATGGTTCTTAGTAGGATACATTCATGCCTAAAACTTTAATATTATGGAGGGTGACATATATATTGTTAAATTATTATATTAAATAGTAATTATTTTGGTTTATTCATGAATTAGACAATTGCTTATAATTATATTATTTTGATACTTAATATCAAAGTCACATTCACTAATCACACCAGAAGAATCTTATGTAGTGGAGATGGAATGTGATAGAAAGAGAGCAAATACCTTTATATATTTTCAACTATTCTTTTTTTATTTTATTTTTTTACATTTTTTAGATCAAGTTATATATGAATATGCAAAGTCGGAGATCTTAGATGTACAATATATTGTTATCAGTAAGAAAGTCACTAACATATGAATTTGTTAAGGGAGTTGACCTTTTATTCATTTGGCTTACCACTAGCTTCATTTTTATCAGATAGGATGTTTTGGTGTCCTTTCTCGAAGCACAAAAATCATGTATACCTAATACTTGATGAGATTAAACTTGATTTATATCAAAAAGAATTTGTGCCATGGCATTGATTTTGGATCTCACATGGAGAGTGTGAGGTGCATCCAGACTCTCTATGTAGTCCCTCTACAAGTTTGAGAATAGTAGAGGATAATCAAAATACACGAACATACAAAGAAATTGTCATAGATGCAACATGTCTAGAATTAAGAGAATATACAAAGGTGTCACCTAACATCATTAAGAAGAACTTCTATAAATTACTATGTTATGCTCAATAACTCATTTGATATGGGTGCACTATTCATAGTGAGTTATCAGATGCACTGAGGATACTAAGTATGAAAATTGAATGTAATATTCCTTGAGAGTATCTCAATGAGTTCATAAGCCTGCTTAAGAAATTCAATCCAAAGAATAATTTAATTCTCATGGATTTGTATAATAGTTTCCTACGCGATTTTTTCCGGCGGCACAAAACCCACCGTAAAGCCGCCGGTAGTTAAAAAAACCGCTGGTGAATATAGGCTAACCGCCGGAAAAAACCGCCGGATTTCGACGTTTTTCCTGTAGTGTAATTTTTTTATGAATTATTGTATATTGTATTATAAGGAAAACTTGATCGATGCTGCATGTCGTAATGAGAGTGCACCTTGATACAAATCAAAATTTAGGAAATAGTGAAAACATATTCCTATTTCTTTAATTATCCATCTTTTTCAAACTTCAACAGTTGTATGTATCAATGACCTTTGTTGGTCACATGAGATGGCATGGAGAGAAGTTATCTCAAGAAGGTGTTCTTACTCATCCCTCAAATATAGAAACATAGAAACACCGTCATCGTATAAATTCTTTATTCGCTACAAAATCATACTACATAAGAATATAATTATGTGCAAATAACTTCACTCCTTACAGTTAAGCAACTTCATAAAATTCTTGTTAGCCTATTATATTAACTCCTTACAATTAAGCTGCCTTATTATGGAGCATCAATGACTTTCCAGCATATGGTAACTATTTTGTTGCTACATTTTGGTAAATTTAGGTTTCTAATAATGCATGGAGCACATATAATCATACAAATTAAAACATTAAGGTAAGAACTAGCTCGTGATTTTACCATCATCATATGTTCCTATCTATCAATTATCCACTTAGGAGAAATAAAAATGTGTTCCTAAGGAAGAGAGTTGAGAGATTAATTCCTTTAGTTAGATTAAGTGGGGTTTGACTATCATCATATGTTTCTACATGGCATCCCAGATTACACTAGGAAGAAGAAGCACAATAAGAAGATAGAGTCTCCGATTATGAGAGTTTAGGGAGCTCCCTCCGTACTGGTGGTTCAATGTCTCACATCGAGTATAGGTGATAACTAGTAAAATCTTAACTCTTATTACACAAATAAGTTAACCATCATCTATTCAATTTATTTATTTTTAATTATCTTAACATGACGTTTTGCTGATGGAGATACTTAGTAGGAGCCTACTATGTTGGAGTTGCATATATACACACATTAAGGCCAAGAGAATAACTTGTTTGTTGATTAAAGATCAAAGATAGCTTATGTGAGTTTTAAAATTTCTACAATGTTAATGTGTACAACTTTTATCTATATAAGTTTATATGTATTTCATTCCTCCCAAGATGATTATATACAAATTCGGGAAAGCCAATCTATCACTAGTGAGGGGTCCTATCGGGAACTACAAAGTTATACAATTATAGCATGTGGTCACAAGTAGTAGAAGGGAGACAGAGTGCATAGATTAAGCTCCCACATGTATGCATATGAGACAACCATCCAACTCAACAGCCTATGGTAATAGTGTCATTGAAGAGACAGTTAGCCTAAGGGTGGCTGCTCTCACCGAGGAGATAAAGCAGATTCGACAAGTACAAGCTGATAATTTATAAAATAATCTGAGATGTAGTTGGATCGTAAGTCATTTAGAAAACAACATCGAAAAAAAAAGGTACAGGAGCCTGTGCTTAAGGAGAGTGAAGAGACTAAATACGAGTAGGTGTCTTATATGTATTATAATATGTGATGAAATCAATGTAAAATTTGATAAAAAAAAATTCAAAGAATTGTGTAATCTAATGTTTGTTAGTAATGCAAATAGAAATTTCTAAAATTTTGATGGATTTCAGATAAAATATTTCCATTAGTTTGACATAATGCAAATAGAATGTCAAGAGTTTTTGTTGAGTAATCTAGATTCAATGAAAAGGACTGATCATAGAAATCCATCAATAAAAGGGTGTTGGCCGGGGTGCAAGCGTTTGAAATAATCAAGAGAAAAGAAGAAGAAGGCATGTTCAACAGTAAGAAAGAAGGTGAGTCGTGCATCCGTTTGAGCAACTGTGATCATAAGAGATGTATTCATGCGACTTGTTGCTGGAATTGAAGGCATTGGTCAGTGAATCTAGGATCGACAAAAGAGAAAAAAAGATCTAGTTCTATATAATTGGAGGCAAGGAAGAAGAGATATAGATTAATGCTTCATTTGAGATAACTTTTCTTTTCTATTGATTTTTAAATTAGTTTTTTAGTACAAAAAAATCCTATTTCAAAAAATTATTATACTAACAAGCTGTCTTAAAAAATAGTAAAGCAGTCCAAATGAATAGACCAAGCAAACCTTATGCTAACTACTAGAAGTCTTCTCCAATTCAACTTCTTTATATAAGTATATACATCATTCTATCCAATCAATTCTTCATACTTATATTTTTTTGTTCTACTTGTGCTCCTCATCACATCTTCTTTCATAGCCGAGATGAAAACTTTTATTTAGGTTTGGCTAAATCTTGTCTCATCTTTCCATCAAGCTCAACTCACGAACCAAGAGGGCTAACTAAGCTAAAACAACTAACAAAATTTGCATGCATAAATATTATTTTCAATAATATGTGAGCTTTTTTCTTAAGATCTATGTCATAGAAGGAGAATAAGAGATTTTATTCACTTTTATAATATGATATATGATATAGATACAGCAACACTAAAAATGGCACTTGTCATCCAAACAAGTCTTGAACCATTCACCAACACACGAAAAAGCTTAAATAGTAGGATGCATTAAGAAATTGTTTACAAATTGCAGCTTTAAGTAGCTCTATTCTTCTGCTGTTGTTTGCTTAAAATGTTGGATGAATTTATACGTATAAACTATACAATATGCCATCATCAATCAGTGTCAACTTCATAATAACTTTTCCTAGCAAACACTATGATATAATGTTTCAAGAGACTTTACAAGAATTAGTAAAATAGGGAAAAAAAAAAGGAAGGAAAAGGTGAATAGTTGGTCACATAAGAGGAAACCTTGAAGCTAAACAGTAGCTTCTTCTTCACCAAATGAAAGGCCAGAGATTTCCTTAAGTGGTCGCCATACAAAATTTCTCATGCATTTAAAAATTTTAAGCAAATAAATTCCCATTGCACAAATCACGAAAATTTGAAATCAAGCAGTTAAATAATGAGGATACATCGAAATCTTATTGAATTACCAGTTGCCACACTCTGTAATGATTTTAACTTTAGGGAGAAATGTAGGAAGCAATGCAAGGAATTGCAGTTCTACTTTTGATAAAACCATTAAAGTATATATAGGAGAAACAAAATCATAAAAAGAGTTAATATCTTTTGATAAGCATATATGAAATAGAAACAGGGTTAAAAGGAATGATTATAGAAGGGAAGAAATCTACATTGGCTTCAATAATCCAAAGAACAAGGCCTTTGGTTTCTGGAGGCATTAAAGAGAGCCTGTAATCCACCTCAGGTGGAAAATACCATCTTGCAATTGGTTGCTTTCCAAGGTGCGGCTATAATTTCATATTGAAAATTAGTGAATTGTAGGTAGTATGACAACAATGAAATTTCCTTCATGTTTTAAAGCTTAATTATACACAAAATTTTATGTTATGAAAGTTTAACATTTATTACAATACTCAATAAGAACAATGATCAGTTAGTTTTTCAATCATATTTTATGAGTTGGTTGAACCAGTTAAGCTCAATCTATTTAACCAAACTGTTTCTATTCAAACACGAGAGTGGAAGAGGGTTCTAATCAAATAGGAGATGCGACTACTCACGCAAGCAAAATGGCTTAGATGTATTTGATGAAGTTGAAGATAGGAGGACAAAGGAGTTCAATAATAAGGGAGGTATAGCGGCATCAAGAGGAGAAGGAAAAAAGGAGTTCATACAAAGGAGAAGGAGAGGGAGTGGCCATTCTTGCGACCTCTTCAGTCCTGTTCGACAGAGAAAAAGGAGAAGAAGAGGAGGTGATTGCCATTTATTTGTTAGAACAAGAGACAGAGAGGAAGAGAAGGGTGTTGGGGTGCAAGCGTTTGAAATAATCGAGAGAAAAGAAGAATGCATGTTCAACAGTAAGAAAGAAGGTGAGTCGTGCATCCTTTTGAGCAACTGTGATCAACAAGCTGATAATTTATAAAATAATCTGAGATGTAGTTGGATCGTAAGTCATTTAGAAAACAACATCGAAAAAAAAAGGTACAGGAGCCTGTGCTTAAGGAGAGTGAAGAGACTAAATACGAGTAGGTGTCTTATATGTATTATAATATGTGATGAAATCAATGTAAAATTTGATAAAAAAAAATTCAAAGAATTGTGTAATCTAATGTTTGTTAGTAATGCAAATAGAAATTTCTAAAATTTTGATGGATTTCAGATAAAATATTTCCATTAGTTTGACATAATGCAAATAGAATGTCAAGAGTTTTTGTTGAGTAATCTAGATTCAATGAAAAGGACTGATCATAGAAATCCATCAATAAAAGGGTGTTGGCCGGGGTGCAAGCGTTTGAAATAATCAAGAGAAAAGAAGAAGAAGGCATGTTCAACAGTAAGAAAGAAGGTGAGTCGTGCATCATTTTGAGCAACTGTGATCATAAGAGAGGTATTCATGGGTCTTGTTGCTGGAATTGAAAGTATTGGTTAGTGAATTTAAGATCGACAAAAGAGAAAAAATATCTAGTTCTATATAATTGGAGGCAAGGAAGAAGAGATATAGATTAAGGCTTCATTTGGGATAACTTTTCTTTTCTATTGATTTTTAAAACAGTTTTTTAGTATAAAAAATTCTAATTTAAGAAATTATTATACTAAAAAGCTATATTAAAAAACAGTAAAATAGTCCAAATTATGAAGCCCAAGTGAAATCTATGCTTGTTTAGCAACAAAAGAGAGGTTTATAATTTCAGTTAGAGTGAATTAATATGAATGATTACATTCAAGAGGAAATAAGAAGATGGATTGATCTCTGCAATCTAGATTCAATGAAAAAGAAGAATACATGAAACTAATCAAGGAAATTCATTCATATGTCCTTTTATCTCTTTAAGCTATAATAGAATACAAAATTTAATTAGAAATGTGATTTAATAATTGGATGCCTTGAACGTTGTCATTGACGACATTCAATGCTTTCGATGATGCCTTTAACGACGTTCAATACTTTCGATATTGCATTTGGCGATGTTCAAGACGTTTGACATTGTCTTCAATGTTGTTTGACATTTTTTATGTTTATTTGGATAGAGAAAAATCAAGCAAGATAGAAAGCAAGCAAGAATGCTCTTTAAATTTTAGGTAAGATTGAACTTTATTATTGTTAATTTAATTAGAAAAAAGTAATATAAATATATTCCTAAAATAAATAAATAACTTGACTTAGTCATGCATATGATGGCTAGATTGTGAGCTAAGAAAGTACCAACCAAAAATTTAAGGAATATGGAAGTGGGGGATTTGACCTTCAAAACAGAAGTGATGAAATTTTGTATAGCAAGGGAGAATCAAATGACTTGTAGTAGAGTATAATATACTTTAAATGTGATTAAATTCATCTATGTACAGATATAACTAAAAGAATAAAATAAGGTAATGAAAGTAATGTACTAAAAGGAAAATGTATATGTTGTTAGAATATAATATACCATATTAACAATAATATTTTCTGTTTTTGTGTCCAATCACGATTGAACACGTGGCTCAACATGTCCTGTATTTTTCTATATAATAAGCTGTATTCTCATGTAAGGATTCAAGACAGTAAAAATAAATTCCATCTTCTCTTTTCCTTCTCCGGTGTTCTTCTTTCTCTCCGTTCATCTTTTCCGCTTCTTGGTTTTCATCATGGTATCAGAATAAGGTCCGATTCTCCTGCTTCTGTCATGGCGACTCAAAGTTCTTCCTCATCTCACACCGAAGCAAGCTCAGGAGTTATACCTCCCGCTCCGGTCATTTCTCCCTCCCTGAAATTTGTCATATCTAATCTAAAATTTCTTGTTCCCCACTCATTAACTCCGGATAACTACTCACTATGGAGCAATCAAATCATCAAAGTCCTAAAGGCTAACAGATTTGCTGCATTTCTTGAGCCAAAACCGGAAGCATCCTTGACGCCGACCACGACCAGCAATGAAAATGCCAACCCCAATCAAGATTCAAATCAATGGTCTGTTATTGACCAAAACTTGGCAGCCGCATTATGCTCTACAATATCCCCGTCGGTACTCCCTTACGTAATCCATCTTGATTCCACGAATGAAATTTGGAAAGCCCTGCAAGTTCGGTTCCAATCTTCAAATAGATCTAAATTAATTCAGCTCAAGAATGAGCTACACAATGTGTCCATGAAAAATCTTTCTATGTCTCAATATCTAACTGAGATCAAGAAGATCGTCGATCACATTGCATCGGCGGGTTCCACTGTAAACTCGGAAGATATAATGATCTATATACTGAACGGGCTCCCACCCTCATATCAGCCATTCAAAGCTTCAATCCGCACCATGCAGACGTCCCTCACACTCGACAATCTGTACGCGCTTCTCATCAGCGAGGAGATTCACCTTCAAACCGAATCTCTGAAATTTCCTCCTGCGGCTGACAGTCAAACAGCCCTCTACACTTCAAATTATCGCGGGCGTCGCGGTCGAAACAAACAGGCTCCAGAAAGAACCCAATCCAGCCGATCCACGGCCTCATCCAACCTTATATGTCAAATCTACAAAAAGAAAGGACATTCTGTGGACGCTTGTTGGCATCGTATGAACCCAAACTACATCCCGACTCAAAATTCCAACAAGAACAATCAAGCTCTTATCGTCAACACCGACAACAACACATCAGTTGATTGGTATCTCGACTCGGGTGCGTCCACGCACATGACCAACTCCGCCGATAATCTCATTACGCCCAACGTCTATAACGGTACTGATAAGGTCACTGTAGGGGATGGAAGAACAGTTCCCATTGCTCACTCGGGCACGGGACTACTTCCAACCCCCTACCGTAAGCTCTTTCTATCTCACATCCTGCATACTCCTTCTATATCTCAAAATTTACTTTCCATTTCAAATCTTGTTAAAGATAACAATATTTCCACTGTGTTTGATTCCACTGGTTTTGTTTTCAAGGATTTGAAGAGCAACCGAATCCTTCTCAGAGGCCCCTGTAGAAATGGATTATATCCAATTGCCACATTCAATCAGCCGGCCATGCACAAAGGTCTCACGACGGCAACAAACTCCACCCTCCGCTGGCATGAGAGGATCGGTCACCCCAGTAACCACATCATGCAGCATATCTTCAAGAACAATCCCGATTTACACATTTCTTTTTCTTCTATCTGTAATTCTTGCAAACTATGTAAAGGACACAAATTAAAATTTCAAGATTCTCAAAACCGTAAACAATTTCCTTTAGAACTCATACATTCTGATGTATGGGGACCGTCGCCGGTTCCCTCCCATCAAGGATTTAGATATTACATCATATTTGTTGACGATTATTCGCGGTTCACTTGGTTATTCCCTCTAATGTTTAAATTTGATGTCACTAAAATATTCATGTCTTTTGTCAATTTTATTGAGCGCCAGACCAACCGCAAGATCAAAGTTCTTCGTACAGACGGCGGAGGCGAATATGTCAATCAACATTTCCAGCAATTCACTCGGGACAAGGGTATTCTTCATCAAACATCCTGCCCATACTCGCCGGAGCAAAACGGGCTTGCCGAATGCAAGCATCGTCACATCATGGAGACCACCAGAACGTTGCTATAGGCGGCGCACATGCCTTCCATTTTTTGGCTTGAAGCTGGTCATACGGCAACTTATCTTATAAATAGAACCCCTGCTGTTATCACAAATTATGTATCACCCATACAATCAAAGTTTAACATCATTCATTCATATTTTCATCTTAGAGTTTTTGGCAGCGAATGCTTCCCATTAAGCCCTCCGCACACTCGCACCAAATTATCTCCCACGTCCTCGTCATGCGTATTCATAGGCTATTCGGACAACCAAAAGGGCTACAGATGTTTCAATCGCATGACAAACCGCGTGATAACCTCAAGGCACGTTCAATTCAATGAGTCATCCTTCTCGTTCATGCAAACTCAATCTCCAGACACTACAGCAAATCAAATCTCCAACCCGTCGCTGCTCATACCAGTCTCCACACTCAAAACCGTTACAACAGCACAGATTTCTCCAACTCAGGCTATTTCTATCCCTCAAGATCTCATAAACACATCTCCGCCTGACACTACTCTTGACCATATTATTGATTCTAACCCTCAGGTACCTCCCACCAAGGACGCACACAAGCATCCAATGCTTACCCAAAATCAAACTGGCCATCTCAAGCTGTCCCGGAGGATGAATTTGCTTCATCACACAACAGCCTCAACTTCTTCATCACCAGATCCTACCACGTTCACAGAGGCCTACAAATTCGAGAAACTGGCGGAAGGCTATGGCTGAGGAATTCTACGCCCTTCAAAAACAGGGCACATGACACTTAGTTCCTCTTCCTCCTAATGTACCAGTACTTGGATCAAAATGAACATATCGCACGAAGCTGAACTCCGATGGATCCATCGCCCGATTCAAAGCTAGACTAGTTGCGCAAGGCAACCGGCAAGAATATGGATTGGACTACCTCGATACGTTCAGCCCGGTAGCAAAACTACCCACGATCCGGATACTCTTTGCCAGAGCACTTTTTCACCAATGGCCCGTTCAACAATTGGACGTCACCAATGCCTTTCTACATGGCGACCTCTTCGAGACCGTCTACATGCACCAACCCAAAGGCTTCAAAGACGCAACTCAACCTCAACATGTCTGTCTTCTACACAAAGCAATTTATGGACATAAACAGGCATCAAGACAATGGTACACCACCTTCACCACATATCTTCTCAGCCTCGGCTTCAAGCACAGCCAAGCAGATCAATCATTACTCACGCTGCATCAAGATGACACTCGTCTCTACCTTCTCGTCTATGTAGACAACATTCTACTCACCGGAAGTAACCCAACCTTCATCTCAGAACTACTCCAAAAATTCCAAACCAAGTTCACGATGAAACACATGGGTCAAGCTAGTCACTTCCTTGGGATAAAAATTGAAACTCATCCAGATAAGTATCATTTATCACAAAGCTCATACGCTAATTCAATTCTCCAATTAGCCGATCTTACACTGTGTAATCCTCTTGCTAACCCATCCTGCACTAAAATTCCGTCTCAGACATCCGACGACCATCCTTGTTTTGATCAAAGTACCTACAGGAGGATCATCGGATCACTACAGTACTTAACGCTCACTCGGCCGGACATTGCATTCTCCGTCAACATGCTTTCGCAACACATGCACGATCCGGCAGCTATCCACACATCTCTTTTAAAACGTCTTCTACGTTACATCAAAGGCACAATCGATCTCGGCATACCAATCACAAGATCTAACCTCCTTCTCCGCACCTTTTCAAAACGCCGATTGGGCGGCCGATCCTATATCCAGAAAGTCTATCTCAAGTTTTTGTACGTTCCTTGGCGACACAATTGTTTCTTGGACAGTTAAGAAACAAACTACGGTCTCAAGATCTTCTACAGAGTCGGAATATCGAGCACTTGCTACAGCCACGGCCGATACAATATGGATAAAAAGACTTCTTTCAGATTTTTCTATCCCGCACAACCCACCGATTGATGTTTTTTGTGAAAACACCTCCACTATAGCACTGGCAAACAATCCAGTTTTTCATGCCAAAACAAAACACATCGAAATCGATCAACGATTTGTCCGGGATCACATCCAGAATAACACAATTCGGCTGTTACCAATCAATACTATTGATCAAATAGCCGACATATTTACCAAACCGCTATCCACTACAAGATTTCAAACACTTCGCTCGAAACTGACTATTTCTTCCAAATATCAGTTTGAGGGGGAATGTTAGAATATAATATACCATATTAACAATAATATTTTCTGTTTTTGTGTCCAATCACGGTTGAACACGTGGCTCAACATGTCCTGTACTTTTCTATATAATAAGTTGTATTCTCATGTAAAGATTCAAGACAGTAAAAAAAAATTCCATCTTCTCTTTTCCGTCTCCGGTGTTCTTCTTCCTCTCCGTTCGTCTTTTCCGCTTCTTGGTTTTCATCATATGTATGAGTATCATTTATTTAAACTTGCACATTTCAAAGATAGATTTAGTATAAATCTCCTTTATTTAAAAAACACAAAAATCGTAATAAATCTTTTTCTCCTCTCTTGGGCAACAATATGAGAAGTTGGATCGAAGGGCAGAAGTGCAGGCTAGAAAATTTTAAAGATATGAAAGCAAAGTTCAAGAGCTAGAATCGTCGATCTCCAGAAATAAAGGTATTTTAAGTTTCCAAATTGTTCTTTTTCTGTAGCATAAATATTTTTTTAAATTGAAAATTTTATACTGAAAAGCTTCTTCATAAAACAAAAAAGAAAGATGATTTCGTTTGGAACATATTCTTTATTATTTTATAAAACAGTTTTTTTATAAAAATCAATAGCTTAAAAAATATTTATACTTGTTGCGTGTTAGAAAATACGCGGCGGTAGAGTTTGTAAATTCGCGTCCGAGCGTTGCACGTAAGTTTAACACACAAACAGAAAAGAGGAGTGAACACCAAGAGTTTTTACGTTGAAAACCCAAAAAGGGGAAAAACCACGGGGCCTCGCCCAGTTGCAAATTTCCACTAGTGTTTTCGTAGATTACAATTGGCGGATTTCGTCCCACAAGTTGGGATATTCCAAATACAATTTGTTTCTTCCACGAAATTTATAAAATTCTGCGAATTCCCTGCGTTTCCTGAAAATCCGGCAGAGTTCCGGCGTCTTCAGGCGGCAGGAAAAACTCTGGCGGCGGTGGTCGAGGAGGTGAGGAATCTCCTATTCCCCTTTCTCCTTCTCCTTCTCTTCTTCTTCTCTCTCTTCCTTTGACTCCCCTTGGTGTAGAATGAGGGCTCTATTTATAGTTTTTCTGGAGTGGCATAGCCCGTAAATAGGCGTGAGATCAAGGGCGAATTGGGAGTGGTTTGAATGGACGGCCGATATCGAATCCTTTGATCATGCACCGTTCGTTGGACATTTGAAGGCCTTAATGATTTCGGAATTTGATGATCTTGGGCTCGTTGGATTCGTCTCGTCGAGCCGTTCGATTCGAGTATAAGCTCGTCAAAATCGGAGACCGTTTGGTAACTCAAATTGCGGTTTGAACCTCCCAACAGCGCTTCGAACCTTTGATTTGGACTCATTTGGGCTCGGATTGGGTTGATCTTGGTGTCGTTGGGTTCGTATTTCAAAGACGCTCAGTTTGACTGTAAGCTCGTTGAAATCGGAGTTCATATGCTCCCGAAATTAATTTTTGAAGTTTCCAACTAACTTTTGCCTCGAGATTCGTGCCTGATCAAGATAATTTTTGCGTGATGTATCAATACTAATAACAGCTTTAATAAATAGTAAGAAAGTCTTTCAAATGAAGTCTAAGATGGTATTACTTTTGATTGACAAAATAATTTCAATTACAATGTAAAGGTTTCAATGGATAGTTTTGTAAAACAAGAAGAGCTTAATGTAAACAGAAAAAAAAGATGCTGCTAGAAGAGAAAACGAACAGGGCAAACGCGGTGGATCTTAGTGAGGTGGACTCGGGGTCGCCGAGACCGCCGGCGCTGGGGTCAAGGAACTGGTAGCCCTGATAGCGCATCCTTGTTAGATAGCGGCCTTCGAAGCCCCCTTCGTGCGGGGTGTAAACGACGAGGGCCTTGTGTCGCTCCACATCCTCCAGCCACTGCCGGAGGTCTGGCCGCAGAAGATCGCCGCCGATCAGATCACTCAGCCCCGCTCACCTGATCGTTGTCGTCCTCTTGTTCGTGGTCCCGCCACGGCTGCTGCCACTATCCCAAGATATCGATTTCCGTGCCGGTGGGAGGATTGGGATCGCCGTCGAGGTCGCCATTGTTGCTGCTCGCAACTTGCGGTGGAAGGTGAGGTTGTTTCAGTACTTTTAATTATGGAACAAATGATGACCGAATGGTTTCCGTGGATAAAAGGAGCGATAAGAGAGGGGCCCAACTAGCTGCAACATGAGCCCGACAAGGCCATGACCACCAAGTGTTTGATCAAATTTCCTAGTTGAATTGTTTTTGTTTTTTAAAGGACGGAACATGTAGCCCCAGGCAAATTTGGATTTTTTTAATTAAAAATATTATTTAATTATAAATTAATATTCTTCTATTTTTTAATTATCTCTCAAATATCAAAATTTATAATAAAACTTATTTATATTTTTTTGCTTAAAACAATATCCAAAAATTTGCTTGTAATATGCACAAAATATGCTAATAATAATAATAATAATAATAATTTTAAAACTGATAAAATTAAAGTGTTTAGGTGTGCACAATGCGGAGCAAAAAAAATTTTACGATGGAGCACAAATTGATTAAGTGTTTTAAAAATATTTTTTGAATTTTTTTATTAATGCTTAAGACCAATTTTGACAATTTAAATATTTTCTTATTTGTATTTTTATAAAAAACATAAACTATAAACTTATAATTGAGGGCATCAACTCTTTATATTTTATAATATTGAATAGTTATCTGAATCTCAAGTGAAATGTGATTTATCAAGCTAAATTAAATTATTAGTTGAAATAATAAATACTTTATTATAAGTAAAATATAGATTTATTAATTAAGCATCAATTAAACCTATATAAAACATCATTTGTAGCTTTTGAGTTGCTAATTGAGGACAAGAATCTCCGCATCACCTTTAAATCATAAAATGAAACACACATATGGTGTGAAAAATTGCTAAAAACTTAAATTTAACATAAATTTCCAGTGGCGGCAAGACGATCCATTATGACTATTCTGATGTTTATAAATGATTGAAAATTAAAATTCTTTATTTATTTTAATTCTCTTTTTTTTTAAAATAATTGTATTTGTTTTGGGTGATGTTGAAAACAAATATTTATTATTCATTTATTATTAAAAATATATTTTTCTTGGTGTAACTTTATCAACTCCAAACAACTCACTCAACTCCTCTCTTTTTTTCTTTGATCGAGGAGTCATGGACTTAATATAATCGTCAGGTAGTAGAGTATTTTATCGGCATAATTTGGTTTGGCAAAGCTCTGCATCGTGGCGTTATCATTGGTGAGTCGAAGTGGTGATGGAAGATTAAGGACAATTAGTGGTAGTGGGAAAAAGAGTAGAAAAAGGGAGGAGCTGGCGATGGAGGCAAAAGCATCAAGGGCTTCCACCATTTGTAGTTAGAAGCAACAATGGAATATGAAAATTTGAGAGTTATGAAAGAAGAGGGACTAGTTGTGATGCTAGGAAAAGAGGAGGCAGAGGTGGCGAGGAGGGCTACAAATGTTTCCTTTATTTGTAATAGAGATGATAATTTAGGATGGTAAATAAGAGACAAAAAAAATGTAACCTCAAAAATCTCATGTGTCTCATGGATTGATTGTAGCCCTATATGTGGCATTCATTCGAGCAACAACAATGTTGTACTTCAACTTATTTCTTTTGCTAACTTCCTAATATGGGCCCTAGAGGAAGCCTCAACTACTTCCTACAAGGTAGATCTCAGTTGCCACTCTAACCCACATTGAATGTGAATCGCCCCAAGAAACCTCTATAGCATAACCCTCTACCTAAGGATAGCAGATTTAGACTATTCCTGTCATGGTTCAAGTCATCCTCCTTCATATAATACCATGGATAGATGCACATCATATTATGCTCCAATGGTCTACAATAGGGTCACAATGTGATACGTTGTATTGGAATATCCATAATAGGGTCACTGCTCAAACTCTTCTCTCCACAATCTTCACTCATATCATATATGTACTCCATGACTCCATCTATAATGGCCTTATTAACTCATTGTACACAACAACTTCCATATCCTAATGCTAGACCGTGTTATCATTATCTTGGATATACATCTCGATCACTTCAAAAGTGATTGAAAGGCAAAGGGGAAAGGTCTTTTATGCAAGCATGTGATGACAGGAGGAGAACACAAAATTATAGAGATTTAAGGAAGGGAACTATTTATCTTAGGCACACTACTTTTTTTTCTCTAAAAGAAGCCATTATAGGTCAAATTATAATGGCATTTCATATAATGACCTAAATTTTAATTGTTAATGAATTCTCTATGATCTGATTTGGAATTGATTTGAAAACCTTGCTTGCATGGAAAATTGACTGAGCATTTTGTAGCATTGTGCTGGAGAGCACAACAACACTAACTTCTTTGTATAGAAGGTTATGGGTAATCAATCATGACGGTGCTGGAATTTGGCACAACTATGTTGATTCCTCTATTCTAGAGTGATTGGGATTATTGTTGTGGCACTAGGATCTGATGTGTTTTAGCATTAGAATAAAAAAACATATATATTTTTTAAAATTTCTTATTACATTACCTCATTTTAAATACCTAAGTCTTACTCCTTTAAACACTTTCCATGAGAGTGTGTTATTACACAAATCATCATGAAATTGAATTCTCAAAATTATTATGACATACACAAGCCACAATTTCATGAACAATTCCTTATGCAATGTTCCTTTTAAAGAATAAAAATGTTTCATGTTAAATGGCTAAGTATTTTAATCATTTTTGGATAAACCCCTTAAATCAAAGATGATGAATCTCTTAGGAGTTATTCATGTCAATTCAATCATTAAAACTTAGATTTATCATCATCATTGGGCACATGACATCTTGATCTATAATAAAATTTATTTAAATCAACATTAAGATACATCATCATCGAGGCCACCATCAAACCTGTAATAATTATGGAGGATTTAATCAATTTTTTTTTTGTTTTTTTTGGTTGGAATATTTTAGAATATTTTAAAAGCTTCTATGAGTTTTCAAGATATGTCTTTAGGCATCTAAAAAATAAAAGAAATATTATTCTTCATTTTGATCAGTAAAGCATGTAATACCATTCAGCGAGAATATGTCCATTAAAAGAGTCAAAGTAGTATGATTCTAAAAAAAGATGCTTAATTGAAGAGTATGTTGACCTTTCTTGTTGAATTGTGATATCTCTTAACTTGAATTTCAAAATTTAGCTATTCGGCTCTCAATTTTCATCAAGCTAGTCCATTATTGTTGGGTTATTAAACCTACAAGATTGTCATACAAACTTCGACATAGTCAACTTATTCTCTAAGAGAGTCTAAATAACTACCATAGGACAAGACTTTAACAAACTAAAGCTCAATCTTAATTAGCCTACTTAAAATCTAGGTTGAACCTCTAACTTAGCATTTAGAAAACCTCATAGTTGATCTAACTTCATGTGACCTTAATGAAATTACACTAATATTATTGGATTAACACTACTCATCTCAGGTTAAGCCTCATTATAGTCCTAATTTGAGCTATCATAGACTAGCAATATGCCCTTTAAAAACTCATCTTGGCTCATCTAGTTCAACCGACACTCAACATTACTCTCAATGTTAGTAGCCCCTAAAAACATATCAAACACCATTAGCTTGACCTGTTAACATGAGACAAACCCAAGTTGACATGACACTTAATGTATCATTAATCAAGTCAAGTATGCTTGTATGATTGATAGTTAATATAGGGACTTACCCTTATATCTCAATAAAATAAAATCAGCATTAGCTTACCCATTGATCTTTATTGTATTAATTTTACTAGGCCTTAATTAAATTAAATTTGTTTGGAATATCTTTGATTTATAAATATGATCCCCTTTAAGCCCTAACCAAATATAGGTCAAATTAAAATGTCCCAAACCCAACCTTAGATAAGACAATTTATTCCATGTTAACGATAATTCATCTCATTAATCATTCTCATAATATGCCCAATTTAATAAGCTAAAAATTAATACAATTGTTTAATTTGTTGAACATTCTAATAACACATTTACATGAATCTTACAATGCAATTAGCATGAGGTGTTGAGTTTATTTTGCATATGCTAAGAAAAACAAGCATTATGGTGCATAAGGGAGCTTTCCTACCCATATTAAGAAAGATATGCTTAAGTGTAACATTGCATCTCAGATAAAATCAACCTATATATGCCAATAAAGATGTGAACAGACCTTCGTGGGAGCCACTATAGTGATGTTAAGAAAAGCAAGCATAGGGTCTTTAAAAGTGCATTTTTTGCAAGTAAAAAACAAAAAAATTGGGAGGTATCTCTAGCAAGCTAAAAGGGCATCCATGGTTGATAATTGATGGTCTTAGCTTAGTAAGAGAGCAAAATACATACCCTAGTTGCCAATGTTCAATAAAATTAAGAGAAACATGGATAAAAAAAAAGTGTATTACTTTGTTTAATAAATAACCCTAATAAGAGGTATGCACCACAAAATTTTTCATGGTTTACCCTTATCATCAATTTCATAACTTTTAAAATGTTATTTTAACTTTCCTCACCCTGTCTTTTGCAATCCACAATCTAGAGTCCTTTTTTCATGAAATTTTAACAAAAAATCTTAGTTTTGGTTTCATTTTATTTATTTGTATTATGTTTCAAACCCAACCATACATTGCATTAATCACTGCATGTATGAATGGCTAAAATTATCAATTTTAGAGATTTTTAAGGGACCAATTTATGATCTTTTATCAACACAGAGAGACTTTTAACATATGCAATGACTAAAATGCTCCCATAAAAAATCTAAAGGGCCTAAATGTTGACCCATTTTTAGAACCACAAACTACATCAACCTACCAAAATTTAATCTTGCTCCATTTGTCATAAATTAGATATAAAATTAATGCCAACAATATCATGAGCTTTAGTTATTTTGTATCAATTCCAATCCTCACCTCTTTTCTTTAATATTGTTATTATATAAAAACTTATAATTAGAGATGAAGTCACCAAAATAAAATATTTTAGCAAATGCTTGATAATTGTGGGCTCCGAAAATTCGGCCCATACCTCCCTGCCGCATTGATTTGCTTTTTCTTTTCATTCGGTGAGGAAGTTTTAACGGAATAAGTTCCGGGGTAAATTTTGGAAGGCAGATGGGTTTGTTAA